AGCTCCCCTCAGTCAGGAGATTGCGGAGCATTAAGTGTAGAACCACTAGACTGAGGAACAGCTTCTACCCTGAGGCTGTTAGACTCATGAATCTCTAACTAGAATAATCACTGTGAAAAATCACATCATGTTGCTGCTGATCTGTTTCATGTTGCTGCTGCTCTGTTTCAATGTTGATGTGTTCATTTGTACTCATCTGCTCACACAGACTCATGTTCGTGCTGCTCTTGGGTGTTAGTGCTTAGTGTATTTTTAGTTAACTTTTTTCTTAGTTCATATCTTAGATCTAATTTCTGTTTTTCTTTTACATTTTAATACTTTTATTGGATGCAACTGGGACCCTGTGTACACAATTTCGTTCCACCACATGTACCACATGTGGTGTGTATGACAATTAAAGAAACTTGAATCCTTGAACATTAAATCATTATTCATTCATCATTATTAACGTCATCATTATTCTAGAATTGCGCCGCTCAAGGTGGCTGCATGTTGGAGCAGCTCTGTTACTTTCATTCTGAGATATTACTTTTGATAACTTTAATTCCTCTTTTTTATGGATATAAATCGCTTTTTTTTGGATGATTATTTCCTCTGGTGTCGGATGCTGTGCAGCTGGAAGGATTTTTACAGAAATATCTTTGCTTTTGGACATTTGTTATGATGCGTAACCATAACAACAAGTTTTTTTACAACCGGGAGCAGCTGATTAACATCTCCAAATCTCAAATAATATCTCAACTACAGCCTCAAATCCCAAATGAGTTGAAACGGAGGCGTCGTGGATGCAGAGCAGGAGCAAAGAAGAGGGAGAAAGAGAGAAGAATGCAGTTTAAACCATCTCTTCCATCGATCATGATGGGCAATGTGAGATCGCTGGGTAACAAGTTGGATGAACTTCAAGCCCTAACAAGGACCCATCCAGAGTATCGGGAATGCAGTGTTATGTGTTTCACTTAGACATGGCTGTAGGATCATATCCCCGACTCCAGCGTTTCCTTGCCAGGCTTTCTGACCATACGAGCAGATAGAGCTTTAAAGAGGAGTGGCAAAAGGAAAGGAGGTGGGTTGGCAGTGCTTGTTAACAACAGATGGTGTAATCCTGGACATGTTACTGTGAAGTATCGTCTCTGCAGTCCAGATATTGAACTGTTAGTCCTAAATTGTCATCCATATTATTTGCCAAGAGAGTTCACCAGTGTTATTTTGGCAACTGTTTACATTCAACCCAATGCTGTTGCCGAGACTGCGTGTGATGTCATCAGCTCCGAGGTTGCTAAGCTACAGACACAACACCCTAGTGCGTTTGTTGCAATATCTGGGAATTTTAATCATGTCTCACTCTCTGCTACACTTCTGACATTTGAACAGTTTGTCAGCTGCTCTACCAGAGAAAACAAAACGCTGGACTTGTTTTATGCAAATGTCAAGCATTCATACATCGCTAAAGCAAGACCCCCTCTTGGCAAATCAGATCACAATCTTGTGTATCTCTGCTCAAAATATAAACCCCTTGTTCAGAGGCAACCTGCAATAAAGAGAACAGTGAGAAAATGGTCAACGGAAGCTGAAGAAGCCCTGCGGGGTTGTTTTGACGCTACAGACTGGGATGCACTGTGCCAGCCACATGGAGAGGACATCATTGCCATGACTGAGTGTGTGACCGACTATATAAACTTCTGTGTAAACAACACCATCCCCACCAGAACAGTGAGATGCTTCCCCAATAACAAACCCTGGATTACCACTGACCTGAAGGAACTGCTAATCCAGAAAAAAAGAGCCTTCAGGGAGAGAGACAGGGAATTATTGAAGAGCATACAGAAGCAACTAAAAGTCAAGATAAGAAACAGCAAGGAGGTGTACAAGAAGAAGCTGGAGAGCAAGCTCCAACAGAACAATATCAGAGAGGTGTGGTCAGGGATGAAACAGATCACAGGCTTCAAGCAGAAGGAGGATCAGAAGGATGGAAGCCTGGACATAGCCAATGAACTAAACATGTTCTTCAATAGGTTCAGTTCAGGAACAAGCTCAGCAGTCTCCTCTCTTGCCCACAGCCAAACATACATACCACCCTCCATTGACCCAAGGCTGTCCTGTCACACCTCAAATATTGTATCCACCACCTCAGTCATGGACCCTTCTTCTACATATTGGTCTTCAACTAAATCAGAAGATGCTGATACCTCCTTTGCCTCCACCCTCTGCGTCTCCAGAAGTCAGGTGAGGAAGCAGCTGGAGAGACTGAACCGGAATAAGGCTGCAGGTCCAGATGGTGGCAGTCCCAGAGTCCTGAAGGTCTGTGCAGAGCAGCTCTGTGGGGTTCTGCAGCACCTCTTCAACCTTAGCCTGACCCAGGAGAAGGTTCCAGTGTTATGGAAAACATCCTGTCTTGTTCCAGTGCCAAACAAAATGCACCCATCAGTCCTCAATGACTATAGACCTGTTGCCCTGACATCCCACATCATGAAGGTCCTAGAGAGACTTCTGCTGACCCACCTGACTGGACAAACAAGCACATATCAGGACCCACTGCAGTTTGCTTATCAGCGTGGACTTGGAGTTGAAGATGCCATCATACACCTGCTTCAGCAAACTCACTGTCATCTAGAAAAGGCAGACAGCACTGTGAGTCATTTTCTTTGATTTCTCCCGTGCATTTAACACAATCCAGCCTGATTTGCTTTGTCAGAAACTTCAGAAGACTCAGGTGGAGGCCTCAACAATCGCCTGGATCAAAGACTACCTGACGGACAGACCACAGTTTGTGAGACTGAAGGGTTGTGTGTCTGACCAGGTGGTCAGTAGCTCAGGAGCACCACAGGGGACTGTACTCTCACCATTCCTTTTCACTCTGTACACCTCAGATTTCCAGTACAAAACAGACTCCTGTCATCTGCAGAAATATTCTGATGACACTGCAGTAGTTGGATGTATCAGAGATGGACAAGAAGCTGAGTATAGGGAACTGGTGGACCGCTTTGTGGCATGGTGTGGAAACAATCATCTCATCTTGAATGTGAACAAAACAAAGGAGATGATTGTAGATTTCAGGAGAATCAGGAAGAGGTCCAACCCTTTTTCCATCATGGGAGAAGAAGTGGAGGTGGTGGAGAAGTATAAATACCTTGGAGTTCACCTGGACAATAGACTGGACTGGAAATGCAACAGTGAATCCGTCTACAAGAAGGGACAGAGCAGACTATACTTCTTGAGGAAGCTGAAGTCCTTCAGTGTTTGCAGCAAGATGCTGCATATCTTCTATAAGTCTGTAGTAGAGAGCGTTATCTCTTCTGCCATCATCTGCTGGGGCAGCAGCACCAGAGCAAGTGACTTAAAAAAGATCAACAAGCTCATAAAGAAGGCTGGCTCAGATCTGGGAACTCCTCTAGAACCTTTGGAGATGATTGTTCAAAGAAGGATTCTTCATAAAAATGAAGAACATTATAGACAACTCTCAGCATCCTCTTCATCAGACTGTCATACTACAACAGTGTCTTCAGTCAGAGACTTCTTCAGATCCGCTGTAAGGCAGACGCTACAAGAGATCCTTCCTGCCCACAGCCATCAGCATCTACAACAACTCTTTAATGACACCAGGATGATGAGTTACAACAACATTTAATTTCCCTCTGGGATTAATAAAGTATTTTTGAATTGAATTGAATTGAACTGAAAACTAAAAAAATAAATTATGAAGGGTGCATTTTAGGTTTTGTAAGAAACAGTACAAACAACATGGAAAAGTTTATATTAAGATAGAGCTGCTGTCTATAACTTGTATGTACAATGATATATATATATATATATATATATATATATATGTTCTCTTTTTTAATTAGTGAAGACCATCTTAATATACTGAATGAATGAAATTGACGACAACAAGTGATTCAGAAGACTCTTATGAGCAGTAAAAAACAAGGAGCTCAATGTCCCTTGTTCAGACATGGGTTACTGGGACCCCACCCTGGAGCCAGGCCTGGGGTGGGGGTGGGAGCTCGTCGGCGAGCCGGGTCTCATGTGGCCCGGTTGGAATCAGCCCAATTGTTAGTGAGCAAAATTAGCTGTTTTCTTTTGGCAGGTGAGAAGCGTATCAGGAAGGACCAGAGAATGGCAGAACACTGAACGTGTCCCACTAAAAGTCACTGTGTGAATTATCAGCTCCAAGAAAGTGTTTTAACTTCATTTAGATAGATACATAGATACATTTGACATAGATACTACATAAATAGTTACATACACTCATTCAATCAACCTATAAATAAAGATTGAACAAATGAACGAACATAGAATTTTATTTTCCCTGCACGAAAGCTAAGGTGGAATGATACTATTTTTGCCCCAGTGAGTATGCACGCATGACGTGTTTATATTTTTGTCCAGGATGTTCACAAATTATGAACTACTGAACAGATAATAATGAAACTTTCAGAAAGTAATCATTGAATCTGCAACTTATCAACAGCAATACAACTAACAATGGCAGGTACAGTACATCCAATAACATTTCCCAGCATAAAAATGTCTGAAACTCAGTAAAAAAATAAAAAAAAAACATTGAACTGAACTTTGTTGTTGCTGCAATGCTTTAACAACACATACTCTGAGAATGAGACTTGTCAACACCTACAGTATCATTTGTCAACATATCTGTAAAATGATATTAGTCTAAAACGCTGGCATTAGGCAAAAAAAACATTTTTTACTTAATGCTAACACACAGAAAATGATGTTATTTATAAGCATTTAGGTTTATTGTAATTATTGTTGCAGAGCGTTGGAAACTCATCTCACAATCCTAGGCTATCAGAATTGTCAGTCTCAAAGATGATGAAGAACGATAAATGTTGCGAAACGGGAAACGTATGATACAAAGGATGTGGTTACATGGTGAGCTAATATAGATTTAGTTAGATAATGCTTGCCCAGCAAGCAAAGTGGCCTATAAATGGCCCACTTTAACACCCCTGTGTGCACAAGTTTAAACCATTGGCATCATGAATGGTCTGGGTAAACTGCTGGTTTTCCACTTTCTGATGTGTCTTGGACAAACAGGTAAAAAAAAAAAAAAAAAAGAAGAACACGTTTAATTTTTATGCTAAAACTATGAAATGGTCATTGACTTGCATTTACTTTTACTTATCTTTTACAGTCCAAGGGTTTAAGATCATAAATGGAGAAACAGCCCCAGAGAATTCAATGCAGTACATGGTCTCGGTGCAAACTAAATACGGTAAACACATCTGTGGAGGATTTCTCATCACTGAGGACTTTGTGATTACTGCTGCACACTGCAATGACGAGTGAGTTTACGGTCTATTTTATTCAGTTTAACTTTTCTTTGTTGTTGTTGTTAATTAAAGTTAAAGATCTTTGTCACAAAAATACCAGTAACCTCTCAATTGTGTTTTTTTTTGTAGAGGACCTTATCAAATTCTTCTGGGAAGCCATAATCTCAAGGGGATGAATAAAAAAATGTTGAAAATTGAAAATACATGTAAGCCCTCAACTTATCAGAACGTTGGGCTCGGTGATGACATAATGCTCATTAAGGTAAGTATGCCCACCTCTGTAATCTTTATCAAACACAAAAATGGCTTTAACTCAGCCAGTCTGACAGATGTTCTGCTAAAATGTGCTATGTTGGAAGCCAAGAGTTATTCCCAACACATTATGAAAGCACCTTGCATGAGATGTGCATTTGTAAAACTTTGCCATTAACTACTGGAGTTAACAGGGTCCGTCTGTTAACAAAATATCTCATGGACCACTTGACATTTTTTTATTAGATTCTGAAGGTAATGTGTCATGGTCATCAACTGATTAACTTCTGGAGTCAACCAGTTCAAGATGGCTACCTCAAATAAATAAGTTTGGCCAACACAGTGGCCATCATCAGTCAATTCTATATATATGGAGATATGTTGTAGCTGAGAGTCATTCTCAAAAACATTTTTGATACTTTCTCGTGTGTCTTTAGTTGTCAGAGAAAGTGCCTCCAAGCAACATGATACAAACAATTCCACTTCCAACGTCTGTGATCAACCTGTACCAAAATCAAATATGCTCTGTGGCTGGATGGGGAAAAACTCTTACCAATAGATTTGGTGTCAATGAGCTGAGAGTGGTGAATGTATCCATCATCAACCGAGAACTCTGCCTGGAGAAATGGAATGAGCCCTTTCCTCTCAATGTGATCTGTGCTGGTGGATATGGCACAACCAAGGGGTTCTGTCAGGTATGTTTTCTTTTTGTTTATGAGTGATCTAAACATCCTAAATATCAAATGAACTTTGTAAAATTCCTTCTCGCCACAGGGTGATTCCGGTGGTCCTCTGGTGTGCAACAGCAAAGCTGTCGGTGTTGTCTCGTTCAACAGAAATGCCAACTGCAACTATCCAGATGTACCCAATGTCTACACAGACATTTCCAGATTTCTTCCATGGATCAACAAGATTTTGAAAGAAAACACGTGCCAGCTGTAAAGTTGTTACGCTGCATTTTGCTCCTGCAATATTCTATGATGCGCAGAAGATTAAATGACGTCTAATTTCAGTCACTGTCAGCTGTTGTACTAAGTCTGAATAAACGAAAGAGCATTCAAACACCTGTTGCTCTTTTTTCTTTGCCAAACAACAAGAACTAAGCATGCAGACAATAAAACAAAAGACAAAAAATGACAAAATGTAGTGCAATATATTGAGCTGTAATGTTTCTGTAACTGGTTTGTATGGGCATTTGACATATACAGTGTGTATGTATGTATGTATATATATATATATATATATATATATATATATATATATATATATAT